AGACGCTGTGTGTTTCGTTGTGAAAGCGAAACTACTTTGTTTGGCCTTCCAAAAGAGGACGATATCCGCTTCGTATATCGATCATGCCTAGAGCTGATCCATGCTGGTCGCTGAGGAAATACATCAACTTCGCGCTGTGGATCGCCAGATCGGCTTTCACCGTGGACGAAGTGGATTCCAGCCCTGGGTCGTCACATGTGGTTGCACAAGCCCGCCGACTGCTCCTTCGTCAAATCTGCCGGCCACGACGTAGTAGACTACAATGTCGGCTGTTCTGACTCACCGACTGTAAATACATTTTCATATTTAAAGGATTTGCCACTGATGATTCATCATATGACCCCTTTAATGTAGTATTTTAGGTAATATGTGGATATTAAAGCTATGTGCATAGTGATTATAGAATAACTAGCAAAATGTTCTTTAGCATTGTTTTGCAAATGAACAGCATGAATATTCTGGTTAATCTGGTTGGCCAAAGGGTCTTTAGGTCGAAAGGGCTCAGCAGGGCTCTCTAGCTATGTTTATCCTACCAGCATCTTAATAATTAATCTTATAGTTTAATCAGAATGAATGCCCTTTTATTATCATTATTTTTTTTTAAAATAAAGTAGTGCTGGGCAATGATTAATTGCGATTAATCGTATATTAAAGTGTATATGTATTATGTATATGTAAATAGACACACATACAGTATATATTTTGAAAATATTTACATGTATATATTTATATTCATATAATTTATATTATATATATATAAATATAATTAATATATAAACAAAGTATTTTTCTTAAATATATGCGTGTGTGTATTTATATATACATAATAAATATACACTGTACACACACATATATTATGAACACAAAAAACTTTCATTTTGGATGTGATTATTCGCGATTAATCGTTGCCCAGCACTTAAATAAAGCAAATTTAAAATTTTAAGTTTACTATCTCTTTATTGATATTTATATTTTATTTATTTATTTGAATATTTATATTATACATTTGACAGATTAAATCATATTTCAGAGTTTAGGGTACATTATTTTGGAATCTGCAATCATATTAGATGTAATTTGGAATTACTGGAATGTGTATGTAAACATAGTCAGACTGTGCATTCTGAGGAATGAACACATGGAGCTGAAAGGACCAAAGATCTTTGGCAAGCTTTTGCTATTTCCCTAATAATTTTCCTCCGAGTGGTCTGTCTCCTCTTCCTGTATTGTCTCTGCTGTGATACTGGGCAGAATGTGTCTGTTTATAGTTAGCCTTGCTCATCAAAGCTTTATTTCTGCTTTTGTAAGGCCAGTGATATGTTTAAAGAATTTATCTTCATTAGTCCTGCTGTCATATAAACAAAGATTTGTTTATGTTGTAAATGAACAGACTCCACTTTACATGTAAAAGAGACATAGATGCATTCAGAGTTGTACCAGCAGTGGGTTCACTTTCTCTGCTGCAGTTGGTTGTTTTCTTATGATCTGATAAGCCTTTTTATTTTTATTTTTTTGCATTAATCTGTAATTTATTGCATGTGGTTATGGGTTATCCCATGCACAAAGGCACAGCAGTGTTTCCGTTGGCCCTCATTTCTATGTTGTCCCTTCCCTTCAACAGAACATACACATAAAAACATTGGCTGATGACATGGTAAGGTGTCTGTTTCTTTTATTTTGTGTGTCTTTCTTTTTCTCTTTTGTTTTTTTCTGTTTCTCTTCTTCGCCACGATTACCAGAGTGTTGTTAAAGTGAAGTGATCGACAAAGAGAGATCAAAGACAAAAAAAAGCAAAGCAAAACTTTTTTTTTTTCTTCACCCTGTCATCAGGTTCGTCATAATCAATCAGTCTAAAGTTCACTCCAGGTCAGCAAGCCGGAGTTCAAGCAGACACATGGCAGCTTGATGCAATCGTTCATAATAAGTTGTCAGACCTTGTCTTCATTTTGACTTTGGTCTCTCCTTGAACACTTTCATTTTACAACAGATTGTGTTTTGATTCTTTTCATTCATTTGTTTTGAATTCATCCATATATGCATGTTCCCTCTGTTTTCAATGACAGACTAACAATGACTACTAGTGCATGGTCTGTTTTCACTCTCTCTGAGCCAGTAACCCATGACCAGAATGCCGATGGAAGCCGCTCGCATCTCTTTCTAATTAGAATCCTTAAACACATCATACTCACATTTTGCCGTCTTATGTAGTCCAGAATGCTGTCTGTGATATTGTCTCTGTATTCATTATGACTGTAAAGCAAACATGAACAAGTGGAAAGATGACACCGGTAATATCACCCCTTGCTTTTAAAAGTACAGCTTGGAAAGGTAAAGTAACAAGGGGGCAGGTGAGTCAAATGTCAAGCTATGAACTTTAAACTACATTTTAAAACTTTATAATAAGTAACCAAACTGTTTTGTACTAACTTAAAAAGACCTCCATGAAATCGTAAGGAGAGTTTTGTGGTTATTAGTCCAATTGTATTAGCTTTGAGGACACTTATTTGCAATTATTTGATCAAAAATACAGTAAAAACAGTAATATTTTGAAATATCATTACAATTTAAAATATGTTTCCTATTTGAATACATTTCAAAATGTAATTTATTCCTGTAATCTTCATTGTGACATGATCCTTCAGAAATCATTCTAATATGATGATTTTTTGCTTGAGATACATGTCATCTTATCAATGTTGAAAACAGTTGTGCTGCTTAATATTTTTGTGAAAACTATGATACATTTTTACAGGAGTCTTTGATGAATGTAAATTTAAAAGAACAGCATTTATTTGAAATAGAAATGTTAATGTCTTTACTGTCACTTTTTGATCAATTTAATGCATCCTTTTTGAATTGAATATGTCGTTTACAAAAACATTGATGGCTAATGTTGAACTTCAGAGATTTTTGTCTAATTATATGCTTTCAAATGTGCTTTCCCCTGCAAAAAATGGACAAACCCTTACCCCTTATGCCTTTATACGCCTACATGCCTCTTCTAAACTTACTGTCTTAGTAAGAAATACATCAACAGGTGTATTTCACAGGGCCATAAAAGTTAAACAGCTTCTTCAGAAGGCCTTGCATAGTATTATCATTTCCACTGTCAGATATTTATGTTCTGACATATGCACCAGTTATTTACTTCACTTTAACTCAACTGTCTTTCCAGCGTGACAGAATCACCAGTTTTCGAAAGCAAGGCATAAAGAAGGAGAAGCCTTTTATCCAGCACCCCACAGACCCTATCTCCACCCAGATCGAGCTGCCTGTGCCCCAGCCACTCTTCGACGAGCGCTCCATGAACCTGTCAGAGAAAGAGATTGTGGACTTGTTTGAGAAGATGATGGTGAGTTTGTTTTCAAGCTGCACTGGGATCTGCACTGTGCTCCAGGCACTGCATGACCTCTGACGCCCTTTTTCACTGATACATATCAAAGCATGGAGCTCATGTTAAGGGTGTCAATTAGGCCATCAGAACCAGACTTCTCAGTGACATTTCACCTCTCGCACACTTGGCCAGCAACGTAAAATGAGTTTAACAAGGACTTTTCTCAAGCATTTAGTTTGCAAAGCCCTTGTGGAAAAGGAGAGTGTTTATTACAAAAAATAAGCCAAATATAAAGTTTTACTTTAAATCATGTAATTAAGTACACTTATTTTGATGTGCTGATTAACAGACTAAAGCACATGTGAAGTGCTTGATTTTAATTGTAACTCTAGTGTGTTATTTGATGTTACAATTAAAGTTAATATATTTTAAATATACTAAATTTCAACATTTTTCATTAAAACGAAAACTTAACCATATTTCAAAGACCAGTAGACATAATTATGTAATTACATATAAAGATACATTTAAGTCCTACTTAAATGGTTCAAAAATCACTTTAAAGTTCAGTTAATTCGATTAAATATAAATTTAACTATACTGCATTTTTATTTAATTGCAATTAACATGCTATTACGTGTAAGAAAATGTTACATTCAGTTTGCACTTAAGCTTATTCTTTTACATTCTACTATTTTCGTAATAAGTTATTTTTGAACTTTATAAGCATGTTTTTATTTAATAAAGTGTGGTAAAGTGCACTTCTTTTTCACAAGGGAGTACTTTTGTAGTAGGTTATTCTTTGTTTTAGTCAGTTGTATAATGGCCTGTTTCCTACCTGGAATTGAAACCAAAGATCTGTAGCCCAGTGCGTTAGTGACTCATCGTAGCCATTTGTTTCCTCATGTTTCTGTAGTAGCGAAGTCACGTTTATGATGCATAGATCATCAAAGACACCTTATCTTTCCTTGTCTCTCTTCTGCTGTCAATCACGAGTGGAGAATGGGACTTGAGAGCTTTGCGCTCTCTGCCGACAGGTTGCATTAACTGAGCATTGGCTAGACTTGACACTTGTTCGTTTTCCCCTCTGGGAGAGAATATACATTAGCTACCAAGCTTTTATATGCATGACTCTTCTTGCTAATTCTGTCATTAAGTGTGATATGTTGACAGCTGTCAATAGAGCATCCACCACATAGGATAGAACAAGCTACTGTTACGGATAGGGAGAAGCAGCACATTATTGTCTAAACAGTTTTATTTTACTTGCGGTGAGGGCTGAATGCAGTCTTCACCCTACCTGTGAAGTTCCCGCTCTGTTTATCTGTACATAGACACACACACTCCCTTCAATCCCCAAGACACCAAAACCGACAGGGCTGCTGCATACACTGGCCTCAATTGAACTCACGCTTGTTTTGGCCTAGACAAGTCAAATAACAAAATCTGGCTGCAGAACAATGGGAGGATTATTTCCCAGACAAGAAAAATGTTTGCTTTGTATTAGTTTTTTTTTGGGTCAGAGCTCTCCCCATCCTGCATCTGTCACAGCAGAGTCTGTCTGTGATGCTTTTTGTATTATTTGACTGTTTCTGTGGATTTATTGTCTGTAGATCGGAAACTCTGCCAATTTCGCAGCACCTGAGCAGAACTGATCTTCAGTGCCCATTTTATGTACTCTAAACTGCCTTCCAGGCTCCACTGTGAATTGTACACCTCATTAGGTTGATACCATTCACATTGATAATTGACTGGTACTACAAAGGCAAAAGATTACTGGGCTCCCCACCAGCCAAATTCTTTGACATATTTTTCAAAAGAGGCAGCATTTATTTGGAGAAATGGATTGCTTACCATCTGTGTGGTGAACAATAGCTCAATAGTTTTGTTCTGTGTGATTCTTGCAAAGGCATTCTATTGATATTTCTTTTTGCTTTGTAATCTGAATACATTACAGGTACTTGATATAATATTGTTTGCAGGTCAGTCAGATTTGTAATTTTTTTTATATCAAAGACATTACCTTACCAAGAATCTTACAAAAATAACATACATAGTTCATTATTTTCCAAAGTTTGTGGTCAGTAAGATTTTTTTTTTAATATATTTTTGAAAAAATGTTCAACAACACTGCATTTATTTAACTAAAAATACAATGAAACAGTAATGAAATATTCTGAAATATGATTATAATTTAAAACAACAATTTTTTAATTAAAATTCATTTTAAAATGCAATTTACTGATGTTAGGTCATCATTTAAAAAAAAACAAAAAAAAACTTGTGTGCTGTGCTGTAGCTATCATATAAAATACTGGGCATTTCGACACATTGCGTCAGGTTGGACATCAAACATTGTTGGTTCTTGTGTTTCTTGGGACCAGATATCTTTGATATCAAACATGGTATTTATATATTTTGCCTTACTGAATTGTGGTCTTGAGGGAATCCATTTCTTGGGCTTGCAGAGCAAGTACAATTATTTTAATGTGACAGTAGAACATATAGCTGAACAGCGTCCCCTGGTGTCTAATTTTGCCTTAATGCTTACTTTTCATTAATGTTATAGCATTTAGGCGGCTAGTGTGTATTTCTTTAAAGCTTTTAAATGTTAGACCTATGCCTATCTTCCACTGTTTTCAAATGTTCTGTGCTTGTGACCAGATGGCCTGGTCATATGTAGAACTGAGTCATACAGCACATTTTCTGTAATTGCCTTGCATTCTTTGACATGGTGGGCTATAATCAGTTTGATTTGTTCATTTGTTTCAAATGTTTGCACCAATCTTCCACCCGCCAGAGACTCTTGGCCCTCCATATTTTCTTGTTGTGTTAGTAACTGCCTGTCACTCACATAACCTCTCAATTGCTGTTTTTGTTCTCAAGATAGTGGAACATTAAACCTGGGCTTCAATTTGCTGCTTGACAAGCCAGGCAGGTTTACAGGCCTGAAACATGTTGCACGGAACGGAATTGGCTTTTGCATAATAATAGTAATGAAACAATTGAGGGAAAAAACGCTTTAGTATTCCAGCTGCCATTGACATTGAGGTTATGAATCAGCTAGTCAGTTGGTCTCCATATAGAAAAGATTCATGAGCCACAAAACAAAACCACATTCAGCCTAATATATGAAGCGGTGGGAGAGCTTTTATACTTGCGTTTCCCTCCTGCATGCTCGTTGCGCATGTATGTATTGATTCACATCATCAGTGTTAAGGCTAAATTTGAGGTCATTCTTCAATATACAAACTTGAAGCATTGACCGAATGCAAATAAATGAGCCCCCCCTCAATGCACTTTAATGCCAGTGGGCAGATCTCTCAGATTGCAGTGCAGTGCATGGCTTGGTGCAAGAAAAATAAGGGTGCACTAATGTGGGCAGTCATCAAAGGGCTCTGGTAAAAACAGGAGCTCTTCGACAAATGAAAGCCCAGGCTCTTTGATAAAGGGGGTTAGTGGCCGTGGCCCTAAGCATATGATATTCTCGCCTTAATGCGTGCACGAGGAGAGAGAGCCAGTGTCGCCGTCCTTGCCATTGTGTGTGCATGTGCGCAGCTGGACTCAAGGCCTGATAAAAATGCACAGCGGTAAATCCTTTCATGAGCTGGGTGGAGGCGTGTTAAGACATGGGTGAGGGCTCTTAATGTGCCTCTCGTGCTGAGAAACAGTGCTGGCAGGATGTGACATGCCAGCTCCTCCGGTTTGCATCATCATTCAGTCAACCACAGCTATTCCTCCAGCACCATTAACATTCAGATAGACAGAGATGCGGCTGGTCCAGAGAAGGACTCTGGGATTGATGAGGTCAGACCGTTACCCCTGCAGTTGCAATCCAAACGTTGTTTCTGAAAATGCTTTTTCAGCATTGTGATTCTCTTTTATCGCCCTACATCCAATGTACTTTTGCCTTCTGTTGAATGTACTTTAGCTATTTAGTATATGCGCTAGATGCACTGAAATATCAGTGGCGGCGTAATTGTGACAATCCTGTTCTCTTTCTTCCAGATTGACGGAGAAATAGCTTCTCCTTGAACTTTTGGCTTGTATACGCCACTGGACTCTCAAAAGTACATTTGGCTTATTTTGATTTATGGCACTTTGACTAATTAGTGTTCTTTCGGCTGTCCTTACAAACCTAAGCGGATTGCTTCTATTTTGGAGAATTCTTCAGAAGCCCACTGCAAAATAACCCAATTGACCAAGATCAAGCATGAAAAATTATGCCTTTTTTTCCCTCTGGGAAACTTGGCCACTCTCCACAACAATTGTTGTGAGAGATAGATCTACTGATTCCCATTTTCCTGGCACTTCTCCTCTGTGCCCTTGGGAGATCAGACTCGCATCCCGTACACACCATATTCTCTTATTTTTAATGGTCAGTATTGGTAGTTTTATTGTTCCTCTGGATGACTTTATGAAGTTTCCTCGGCACTGAGATTAATAGAGTTTCAAGTTGGAGTATGAAGCAACCAGTCTCAAATTGCAGCTGAAGAGAAAAAAGGCACTTATTTATACCTTTGCATCAGTGGATCTGGCTTCTTCCATAAAAGGAATCAATTATGCCAGCCCTGGCCTGTGATTTAATAATTCCAAGCTTTGAGGACATAATTAATTATGATGGGTAAATCATACTGGAGAGCCGGGAACTGGATTAAGGAGCCAATTAAGATGCCACATCAACAGGGCTCACTGATTCATTAAAGGCCTTGTTTTACGTGAGGGGAGAGGAAGAGGAGAGAGACAGTGGCTTGATGTAAAACTATTGAAATGTTCATCTCTGAAAAGATGTCCTTCACTTTATCACCAATTCAGTGGATGTGCTGTTAGCCACATGTAGCAAACACACAGAGTAACCATTTTCAAAAGTGGTTTTTTTAAAGTGTTACCTTCAATAAAAAAAATAAAGCTTGATGAAAAGATGTACAAGTGGCTTTGAAATCACCAACCCTCACCCTTTCCTCCTTGAGTATTTACATTGTCTGGCATTACATTTTTTCTTCTTTGCGGACACCCACACACCCACGGCTCTCGTTTGAAAGCATAGGACACACAGTCCCTTTTCTCTTCACCAGAGGGCAGCATGGCTCCATAGAAATACAGCCTGGGTTTATCTCTGGAGAAAGACTCTGCACATACAACATCTCCTTGACTTGTCATGGAATTGATAAACATATATCAAGGATTCATTACTCGATCTAACCTTGGCTCTATAGGACAGTGTCCTTACTGTGGTCATGAATGTGCAGTGAGAACAATTTTCAGAGTTTATTTTCAAAAAAGAAAAAAATGTTGAACTATGTTCAAATATTTTAAATTAAACTGATATATTTAATATGATATATTTATTATAATATATATTTAACATATTTTTATTGGCGTCTACAGGAGGACATGAACCTGAATGAAGAGCGCAAGGCCCCCCTGCGAGGGAAGGACCTGAGCACTAAACGGGAGATGGTGGTCCAGTACATTTCTGCAACAGCCAAATCTGTAAGTGCGCCACAAAACACGGGGCAGCCCGTCTTAGAAAGAGAGAAACAGACAGAGGAGAGAGTGGGGATGAACCACATGACGAGACACTATGGAATAATGAGCTTAACCTGATCTGCTTTCTGCCTCTCTTGCTAAAGCCCCAAATCTTTGATTGCTGCCTCCTTTAGCTCTTTTTTTATTATTTATTCTTATTTATTTATTTTGTATTTTTTCTCCTCTCACCTTTTTTTCCCTGGGTGCTTATCAGGCTGCTTTTGTTGTATTGCACTTTCCAAAAGCTTCATATTGCTGGGGATCAAGTTTTCATTAGAATTTGGTACGCATCACTGTCTCTGCTCCGTAAGCTGAAACATGGCTCTTTCATCACCGTAGATGAATAAAGGCTAGAACGCCACCGCCTCTCGGGGTAATCCAAGGCTTTTGGAGCGAATTCCCTTTATGAAGTAGGTCCTGCCGAGGTTAGACTCCACGTAAACACCACGATCCCCTTCACCCGCTCCGCCACTGGCTCCTCCGGCTGGCCTTCAGCGTCCGTTTTCATTAGCTTTCCTCCCGGCTATGATAATTAACCAGCATTATTAATAATGATGATAATCAGAGATGATTGAATTCTGCAGCAGGCTCATTGTCGGCCCTGTGAGCCTGGCATGCATTGTGAAATATGATTCACATATTAGTATTGTTGTCTCAAAGCGGGAAGAGAGGAGGGGGGTTCCTGTCTCTCTGCACGCCTGTAGCCCCCTCAGCACCACCAGAGCCACTCACCAGCAGCATGTCACTGTGGAAGCTGTACACAGCACTCTGACAAGCAAGGAGGAGGTTTGGAACGTGTGCTCTGCATTCTAGGGAAGAGATGTGCTTTTATGTGATAAGAGATGTTTACCACAGGCACAACACACTTTTCCCTGTAATGCTCAACTCTAGCACCCAGAGATCTCCTCCTCCTCCTCTTTTAAACATTCAGCTCAAGCTACTAACCAAGCTATCTGCATACTGCCGATTTTGTGGGAGTAGGGCAAATATTTAGCCTTTTTCAAATTATATTACTGTTTAAAATTTTTTTTTTTTATAAATATGACACATTTAATGTATTTAACTTTAAGTCAATGCTATTATAGGTGGGGAGAAATCTTCTGATTATTTAAAAAGTACCCTTGTCTTTTATGATTTTTGATATTTATCAGTCAAAGAGCGTTTATGGCTCTTTTTTTAATGGCGAACATTTGAAATCGACATGAAATGGAATATCCATTTTACTTCTGCAGTGTGACATTTTTCTGAGTGAAATAGAAAAGAAAAAGCAGTAGGATTGCCTCTATCCATTTGAATTTTTTTGCATCATAAAAACTGGTTGGAGGGGAGAGATTGAAAAATTGGTGATGTTAAGAATTAAATTTGAGAGTTGTTATTCAGGGTTCCCACAGTCATCCAAATACAATTATATTGTAAAACTGTATCTTTTTTTTTTTTGAATAAAGGTGGGAAATTTTGGTAGTATTTATTTTTCTAGCTGAGCTGTACTCAGCTCTACAATGTTTTTATTGGCCATAATTTGCCATTCTGTTGCTAAAAACATTATTCAGAAAGCGCAGAAAAATATTGGACGTTAGTTTAAATTACCTTGTTTATTTTGTTAAAATAAGACAATTTTTGTTTATTTATTTTTTCAGAATTTAGTATACTTAAATTGTGCAGAATAAGTCCTAGAATATGTATTGAGAAAATAAATAGGTCGATTTTGATTCCATGTTGACTTTAATAAGTCTCAGATGCTCTCAGAAGCATGAGATGGCAGGATCTTTTTTGCCTCAAGTGTTTTTTCACTATACTGTAACTAAAACCTTCACATTCTGTTCACATTCCAGAGATCAATCTCAGAATCATTGTGCGAATGCACTTTCTTTGTATGTCGAGTAGCTACCAAGGGTGTTTTCGAGTTGCATGGACTAATGCTTACACGCGCACACTGACACACGTCCAGAGAAAGTCACTCCTGTGCTGTCCATCTCTGACTGCACTGGGTCAGTGTCCTCTCTTTGGTTGGCGAGTGGGAGTAATTAAGTGATGGTCTGGTGGTAGAGGAGGCCCGTGGTCTCTGCTTGAGCCACTGCAGGTGTAATTTAGCAGGGGTGAGCGGGGCCAAGAGCAGACGGCACGGAGACGGCCTCTGCACACCTCCGCATTAATAACCCAAACCCGTCTAAATAAAAGAAGGGAGAGCAGAGTCCATCCATCCCACTTAATCTGCTGCTATCTCCCCGAGTGTGCCGATCTGCCTACAGTAGATTGTGTTTCAGCACACAGCTTTACAGAGCAAATATTAGTGGGAAAACAAACCCATCCGATCCACTCCTGCCGCAGCCTGCCTTCCTGCCTGTCTGTGTGCGGCAGACTCCCACAGCTCCTGCCTGGCAGGAGGGCAGAGCGATGAAATAAAAGGACGGAAGAATAGAGAAGTTTCACACCAGCGATGTCTGTCCTCTTTTATAGCTCAGATATGATTGCTTGTGTGACAGAAACTTACAGCTCCCATGGTTCACAGCTCCTTTTATTATTTACAGCCAACACCTCTTTCCTTGCAACACATTTGTGCATGCTTTCATTATATTATATGATCACACCTTTTTTGTTTGTTCACACTGAACATTTCTGAATATCTATTTGCCAAAGAAAAGTAATATATAAAATGCATGTTTATTATTATCATTATCATTATGTCCCTTGCATGGCTTGATTTGTTTTGTTTTTGTTTTTTGAGAAACAAGCATTTTTGTCTTAGAGGCAGCCACTTGAATCCTTCAGCATGCAAAACTAAGGGCCCTCACCACACTTTCCAGGGGGTCTCAGTAGGAGACTTTTAAATGACTGCCACCACAAACTATAAGGTATTTTTAAGGCAAAGTGCCTTTGCATTTAAATACTCAAATACATACTATATAAATATTTAAATACATAGTCCTCACAGAAACTTAAATATGTTTTTTTATAGGCTATATATTTAAAAAAACATTAATTTTATTTAGTACTTGCCACATAAAGCTAAACAAATATTTACATACAGGTGCATCTCAATAAATTAGAATGTCGTGGAAAAGTTAATTTATTTCAGTAATTCAACTCAAATTGTGAAACTCGTGTATTAAATAAATTCAATGCACACAGACTGAAGTAGTTTAAGTCTTTGGTTCTTTTAATTGTGATGATTTTGGCTCACATTTAACAAAAACCCACCAACTCACTATCTCAACAAATTAGAATACTCCATAAGACCAATAAAAAAAAACATTTTTAATGAATTGTTGGCCTTCTGGAAAGTATGCTCATTTACTGTACATGTACTCAATAACTTGGTAGGGTCTCCTTCTGCTTTAATTACTGCCTCAATTCGGCGTAGCATGGAGGTGATCAGTTTGTGGCACTACTGAGGTGGTATGGAAGCCCAGGTTTCTTTGACAGTGGCCTTCAGCTCATCTGCATTTTTTGGTCTCTTGTTTCTCATTTTCCTCTTGACAGCAGTGCCACAAACTGATCACCTCCATGCCACGCCGAATTGAGTAATAGAGTATTCAGTAATTAAAGCAAAAGGAGCCCCTACCAAGTATTGAGTACATGTACAGTAAATGAACATACTTTCCAGAAGGCCAACAATTCACTAAAATTTTTTATTTTTTATTTTATGAAGTATTCTAATTTGTTGATATAGTGAATTGGTGGGTTTTTGTTAAATGTGAGCCAAAATCATCACAATTAAAAGAACCAAAGACTTAAACTACTTCAGTCTGTGTGCATTGAATTTATTTAATACACGAGTTTCACAATTTGAGTTGAATTACTGAAATAAATGAACTTTTCCACGACATTCTAATTTATTGAGATGCACCTGTATATTCCACAAAAATAATAGCTGTATTTTTTTTTTATCCTATGTAATCAGCCTTTGCTTGTGAAGGTGACACACAATATTAAGAATCAAATGTGTGCAGCTTTTAAATAATAATCAGTTAAAATATTATTTTGTTTTCTGGAATAAGTAAATATCTGTTGTTATTATTATTATTTTTATTATTATTTAAAGGTATTTATCATATTTGTAAGAGTTTACCCATCTTGTTTTTTAAAATGCTAAATTTCTATTGCTAAATAATTTTCCAGGGAGTATGTAACCTGAGCATAACTATAAGCCACATACAGTGAAAACCAATGTTGCCTTGACGCTTTGCGGACGTCCTTGACCATTAACATTTCATGAAATGCTTTCTCTCTTTTTCAGTCTCTGACAGGTGTGTCATTGTCCTCACGAGTGCCAAAGCATGTCTACAACTAACACAGTCATTTCTCTCTCGCTCTGTCAGTGTCGTGAAAAGCTTTGACTTTGCTCTACTGTTTTGCTCTTAAATGAAATGATTCATGTAAGGAACAGAATGCGTCTAGGCAGGGTCTTTGAGGGGGGAGGAAAAGATTTCTTACCACGGATCGTCACCTGAACGTTGTCAATACTGTGGTATTACAGACTTAAAAATGGAACGGAAACTTAATTACAGCACAAGTTCTAGTAATCGTTTATGACAGTTTTTGAGCGATGAACTGATCCTGTCTAGGATACAGGAGCTAATAAATAAATAACTAAATGAATAGATTTGCATCATGGACCATTTGATGGTCATGAGAAGAGCTGGAACGAGGATATAAATACCCATCTCTTGATAAGATGACATTCTTCAGAAGTTTGTTTACAGGAGCTACTTCATAATGGAGCTTCTTCATAATTAGCATATTACATGACTGCCTAATTCTGCATTACAACAATTACCATCATCTGTTTTTTTTTTTTTTTTCCCCCGCTCTCAATGCTCCTCGGGAAATTGATAGCATTAATACCACAGTAAAGTGACAATGAGGTGTTGTTTTGTGAAATTTGTGTAAATTGATGTTAGCAGCAGCTTTTCCCCTCAGGCTCCTCCCTGACAGTTCTTTATGTGGTTTCAAGATAATGTCTGTTCTCTTGATCAGGCTGCAGTAAAAATACAACATTCATCAAACCCAGCCAAACACGGCACGGTGCTAACAATATTTGGCAGCCGTCCAGCACGTCTGCTGATTGCAAAAGAAGGTGACTTTTTGTTTTGGGTCAAGACACAAACCCTTAACTATTCGTTTGAGCATATTCACTTGGGATATGGAAAATTGGACTCGAAAGTAGCACTATTGATCAAGAGGTTACGCTGTTAAAATTGACAGTATTATAGTCAAAAACCTTGATTTTAAAAACGTGGTCGTGGGAGTTTGTTAAAAACAAAAGACAGCTATGTTAAAAACAAAAAGAACAGATCAGATTTAGAAACTACTGCCTTCGGTTTTGTATTACTGAAGAAGTGAGAATAATGCTTGTTTGAGATAAATCTGGTTTTACATTAGTTTCAGTTGTCTGCTCTCAGAAAAAAAAAATCTAGATATTCAGTAGGGCTGCACGATAAATCGCATGCGATATTGAACGCGCATCTTGTCAGAAAGCCGGTTCTGTAATCAGCGGTAAATCTCCATCACCTGCGGGCTTTCACATTGAGCAGCATTAACTACACAGAGCCGTTGTTCACTGACGAGCTGCGCAAAAAATCGCGCGAATATGAACGTGGGTTTGCGCAGCTCGTCAGTGAACAACGGCTCTGTGCCGCTCTGTGATGGAGATTTACCGCTGATTACAGAACCGGCTTTACTGATAAGATGCGCGTTAAATATCGCATGCGATTTATCGTGCAGCCCTAATATTCAGCCTAGCAATTGTCATATGGCATGGTCAAAAAGAAACATGCTGACTTTGTCGAACTCTGAGCTATGATGTATAATTTGACACTTGATAGAAAGTACCAGTGACATTTGATTGATTTTTGGCCTATGGAGGCATTTTAGGAGACCATCTGCTCATGAATAAAATACCACATTTGGGTTAATTTTGTAAAAAATCTACTAGATTCTTACAAAATTTCATTTGAGGGACGATCCCCTCTGGATATTTGTACTGCCTGTCAAAAATGCCTTTAATCTAGAAACTGCTAGATTGTCATGAATTAATGATTTGCGGTTTGGAAACAATAGATCTTTGAGGTGGGGCATTACTTTATATTCTTTAAAACATGACATTTTCGCATCAATCATCAGACGTCTTTTTTATTTCTCTGCAGTCATTATGTAAAACCAATGAGCGACCAGAGAGCCACTTTTAAAAACTCGATCAGAGATCAATTCATCATGATCCTTATGTCCCAAGCAGTCATCAAAATGGCAGACATTGTCTTTAGTGTCCGTCTGAACCCTCTCTCTCCACCCTGTTAAGTTGTGTGTAATTCTCAGCTGAGTAGGCAGCGTAGCAGAGAGGGCCAGTGTGCCAGTCATTTAAGTGTAAGCTCTATTACTTCAGCTGCATAGTACCAGAGAGATTCTGGCCTACTAATGATTGTGCTGTTTGTGTCTTTTTGCACATTAACTACCCTCCGCTGACCGCTGCATGCAGATAACTGGGAGCAAAGTTGCGGTAAGTAGCAAAATTATTTATTCGCTTTTGATTTGTTATCGTGCAATCTCTCTGTCTTTGCTGTCTTTCTCTCTCTTCTTCTTTTTTTGTTTTTTGGAAAAATCTTAAAAAGTAATTTCTGTGGCTTTGATTTCTGTTTTATTTTGAGCATTAGTATAGTTTATAGGCTATAATTAGAAAAAGTTCTATATTTTTTTTTCCTCCCAATCCCTGCATGTAAATTGCACATTTAGAAATGAGTGATTTCTCAATTGTGCTCTCCGAGAATACACTAGGACCTTTTTTGTTAGTTTAAGCAGTTTTTCTTTGAAATGGATCACTGCCTAACAGATATTAGCATTTAAATATTGTAACACCAGGGATGAGCAATAGTTTTTAGGCAAATAATCATAATCTGTGATCTAATCTGTTTATTCTAATGTTCTGTATCTAAATGGGTTTCATTGTGTTCATTCTTCCCCCCAGACAGCGTTCTGAGAATGTATCACTTAATTAGATTTTCCCTCACACACACATTCCATGTTGAACAGTGGAAAAGATATTGAGTGCACCCCCACCTCCCATCCTATAAATATGTTCCATTTTGCAGTGGGACGTTCGGCACAACCCATTTGCAAAGCCATGTCTTTGTCCCAGTCACATTACAGCGTGTCACTATTGTTTCTGAAATGTTCATAGCTGCTCATGTTGTTATTGTCACCTACTTTCGCCCCTCGCCCCCCCACTTTTTCCAAAATGACGGTAATAATCTTCATAAATATATACTGTCTGGGCGATGGCAATGTTTCCTCATTTAACAGCTCCGTAATGCTGTAATTGCAGACTGGCTTCTACTATTTCTCATGTAGTGCGGTCCCATAGCCCATATGAGGCTGCTTGTTATTTGTTTTATTTTATTTATTTAGAGGGGCTCCGTTATTGCCTCCGCAAGTGTCACTTGTCATTTAAAATGCTGTTTTATTGTGTTGCCGAAGCTATGAGAAAGGCCCGTAGATGTACGTGAGGAAGCTTGAAGATAAGGTAGCAAAGGTAAATGTTGTTATTTACAATACAGCAATAAGCTGCCGCAATAGACTCATTTATTTGTAGCGAAATGGCCCGTTCAATCAATGCTCTCATGCCGCTTGGCATAGAATTGTGCGTCGAGTGATTTTTCTATAAACTGTCAGCGATAAAACATGCTCGATGCTGATGAGTGTGGAAGTATGTTTTGAATGTTGCATCACTTCTCAGGATAGAGCAGGAAGGTTACTCTGGGATTGTCTCTATCGAAGAACTGTCTGACAGCGTGCACCACAAACAAGTCCTCTCATTTAGAAGTTTCTCACAGTTCAGAGGTTCCTGTACTTCCTGCCATTCCATCAGACTTTTGTAAGCACTTCCTACGGATGGGAGAGTGTGAGAGCTTGCAGGGAAGCTGTCAGCTCTTTCATTCTCCTTGTTTCTGTTTCTCTCTTTCCCAATAATCCCACCTTTATTGGGTTTTATTGTGGAAACCACGTTCAGTGGGGCCAAGATGACACCCTCTCGCTGGGCAGATTGCTATTTCCACGCTGTCAGTGCAGTTTGGAGGCAGACCGACCTGCCTGAGCCACGGCTCCCTCAGGGATTAAATTTCTCCGGCACGCTCTCACAGGGCTCAAATTCTCTGGTCAGCATGTCCGTATGCTGCTGAGTCACATGCGCTTCAGCAGTTTTGTATTAGCGCAGCTTGATGGTGATGATGATGGTGACCCAAGGGAGTGTAGGTGTACCTGCCGCCCCTCTGCGGTGTCCGATTGATCAGGGATGTTGGTGCTTTGATTGTCAGGCTAAGGATGATAGATTGTGTGTCAAAATGCCCACGTTTTATCGGCGTGAAATTGATGAACCCCTCTGCGAGGGAATGGAAGACCGCAGCTCCCTGTGCTTAAATAAAGCACAACCAACACACAAAACCCAATCAGTGTTTGGCCCTGAAGACTGGTCCACCGTTACCTGTTAAGGTCACATGACTTGACCTCCAAAGTCTCTCCAGTCCTCAGGAGGAGATCAATAATCACACAGTCAGCCCAGCAGTTAGGAAAGACTGCCTGTTTCCACGGAAACATGGTGACACGTTCAGAGTTGTGGGCAGAGGGAGAGAGAGGAGCCGCTGAGACCTCAGGGACTGGAGTCTGCTAGGGCTGTTAAGAGTTCAGCAGCTCTCCGAGAATCCCTGGTATTGTCGGCGAGAGAATAATGGACAAAGCTTGTATTTTAGAAATGATTTCGCTTCTTTTCACATGGGAAAAAGACTTGGGCCTTTATCGGGTGAAATGGCATGGATCTTACCGTCATGTTAAAGTGTGTTAAGTACTTAAGAGAGTACTTAAATACTCTCTTTGGAACCAAAGGGCCTTGAAAAGCATATGTGAAAAAGAGCAAAACCTTGGCGAAGAAAGATGACATTTAGCTGTTGGTTTCCATCACAAGTGTTGTTAGATGATTTCTTTTTATTTTGCACAAAACAAGGTTGGCCGTTAGTATCCAGGATTTTTATACAGTCTGATATGATGCTAATTTAAATTGCCCGTGTGTTCAAGTCTTGTCGGAATGGTCATATTTGCGAGTTGAACGCACATGAATGTCACGACAAAGCCATTTCAAGTTACAATACAAGTGGGAAAACTCTGAACTTTTATTAAGCCCCGAGTTTACAATTTGGGGTCTTGTTAGTGAGAAAGTATGTTGAAATGGAATTATTGTTTACAATAAAACTAGCTTAATTTGTCTGTGTGTTTTTTTCCTATTGTCTTTGCTGTGTGCTGCATTATGGGTAACGTTGAGTATCCTACACAGGCTTTCTGAGTCTTTTGTTGGATGCAGTACAGTTTTCTTCTCTGACTTCTCTCTCTCTCCCATCGCCGCTCCTTCCTTGCTTTTTTGTCTCCCCTTTGCTTCTGTATAGTCCACAGAATTTGTATTCCTAATCAAATGAATATCCTTAGCATTTGTGTGTGGGCACCACTTGTTTCATGGGTAGACTTTATACCCAGTATACTCCTGTTCTAAGGCTCATCTCTACCATGGCTGTACGGAGTCATTGTAAGCACCTGTTTAAAGGCTTTTCTGCAGGGAGGGTGCACTGAGTCCTCTTTCACTCGCTCTGCTTCTCGCTGGCACTAGCCAGGATCTGTGAAGAGGGCCCTTTTTAACTATGCTAAGTTTGAATAAAATCAAGGACAGCCCATCCCCACCTACTATGCCTCAGTCTGAAAGTCTCTTTGTTTCAGTTTGGCCATTAATGATGATTGTGTACTGGAGGCTGAACTGATTTGATAGGAAGTCTTTTAAAGCACCAAGGACATGTGCCCTATGGAAAAAATAAATCCAATAAGCCGTTTGGTTCCTGTTCATCATTTTTACAGATACATTTTAATTAGGATGAGGGAACTGTGCTGAAAGAATATATGATCAATGTGATGGTTTTGTCTCAGTTGATTTATTTATTTATTTTTTTAAATGTGTCAGTAAGTGTAAAGTTAGCACAAGGACACTGATGACACATTTGATTTAACAGCAGATATTTAAAGTTTGGTTTAAGTTTGTGCTTTTGTCATTTTTATTGGTCATTTTATTGTCATTTGTATATTTCTATTTAGTTTTATTTTTAGTACTTCAATTTAAACTTGTTAATTGCCACATTTCTTATTTAAGTTGTGTCTAATATTTATATTTTATTTTATTTATATTATTTATATATTGCATTTATCATCTGCTATTGAAGCAATGTTGGCTATTTAAAGTAATATTTTTGTATTTTTATTTTATTTTTCAAGAAAGTGAGAATAGACAGTGTAAAATAAATAATTGTTTTGGGTGTTTGCCATGGTGTTGCTACAGTATGTGGTTGTTAAGGTGTTATGAATAGTTGTTAATACATTATTAAATGGTTGCTAGGGTGTTCTGGTTGGTTATGTGGTTGCGTAATAAAACCCAAGCCAGACAAGAATCTAAGACTCAATGATATTCTGGTCTGTAGATATAGCTCCTGTCTCTTCCTTTGTGTAAGTCTTGTGAGTTTTTTTCTAACAATTTTATCATCCTCTAGGTGAAAATTGTAAGTCTGATTTCTTAGAAAAGTAATTGCACACCTCTCCCCAACAAGCTATGTGATTTTGAGGTATCATTCATGCCTGCAGCACTAACGGTTGGGGGACGAGTTATGAAGTTTAATACTTAGCAGTATAATAGTTTGTCTTACTTTAGCAAACACCACTAATAATGTGCTGATAGAAATTAATTTGCAGTAAGAATTGAGGTAGGAGTCAAAATTATTTTCTGCAGTAATTGACAACATGTCACAGATGCTGTCGAGAGAGCTTAACTTTAAAATTCCTTTAATGCAAGTTAATGGAATAGCAGCGGAGATGTTAGTAATTGACCTATAAGGTTGAGCAATGTTATAATACTAGACCTTCTCACGCTATATGAAGGTCTTTTATTTCTGCCCTTTTGGCTCGGTTTCATCACAGAAGCTACTCAGACTCTGCATCTAGGAGTCTGAGTTTTGTCCTGTTGCTGTATCCCAGGGATCAACTCTGAGACCCATGAATTTCAGTTTTGTTTGCATCTCCAAGCTCAGGCATATTGAAGTTTCTTGGGGTTGAATTCAGATTGACACTAGCGCAATATTCATTGCAACACCTAACCTCATCTCTTGTGGGGTCTCGATTGATGCTTCAGTTGTTGCTTGGTGCAACCACAACCTCGCATACAATTTTAATGCCATTCAGTCAAGTGCTAATATAGAAAAGTCAAGTATGATACGATTAATTTACCTTTAATACTATTTCCAGTCCTTTCTGGGACTGGAGTTGTTTGTATTTCACCGACCTTGTCTGGGTTTGTTGATTTCATATGGGAAATGGCAGGACTTAAAGGTAGCATTTATTTTATCAAACCTTAATATAAAGCAGGCTTACAGTTTTGTTTAGTTTTGCTTTTAAGCTACTCCATGATAGCAGACACTAATAAAT